GCTGCTCCACTACATAACTGGGCACCTGATGTATATGATGGTGTACCAACTATCGTAACATCTTGGCTGACAACAATGCCAAAAATTTCTATTTTTGTATTCCTTCTAGAACTGCAATCTGGACTAGAAGGTAGCTTTGAATCACTAAGCCTTCTTCTTACTGATGATACATCTATCGATATTTGGAAAAATCTACTGCTTATTGCTAGTCTTCTTAGTCTTGTTATTGGTACAGTTGTTGGACTAAGCCAATACCGAATTAAACGACTTCTGGCATATAGTACAATTAGTCATGTTGGATTCCTACTACTAGCTCTTGCTATTAATACAGAAGAATCAATTGAATCATTCCTATTCTATCTAATTCAATACTCACTTACAAATGTAAATACTTTCCTAATTCTTCTTGCATTTGGATATATTATGAGTACAAGTAAATCATATCTACTAACAAACCGAGCTATTAATAAACAATCAGTGAATAGTACAGATATTCAATTTATTGATCAACTTAAAGGTCAATTTAAAGAAAATCCTCTACTAGGACTAAGTCTAGCTCTTTGTCTATTCTCTATGGCAGGTATTCCACCACTAATTGGATTCTTTGCAAAACAAATGGTTCTATATTCAAGTACTCATGGTGGTTACTACTTCCTATCTATTGTTGCAATCCTAGTAAGTGTTATTAGTGCATCTTACTATCTAAAAATTATTCGAGTTATCTACTTTGATAGTCAAGATACTCAAAATGAAGTAGTATATACAGATAGTACTGAAAGTTCATCAGATACTATTGCTACTCCTACAATTACAAATGTACATAGTCTACTGATTTCTAGTCTAACTATGATTATTGTACTGTTTGTACTTCAACCATCAATCCTACTAAATAGCTGTCACATTCTAGCTCTATCACTATTCTACTACTAATGAACACTATTACACTATTTTTCCTTTTTATTCCAATCCTAGCTGTCATTCTTCTATTTGCTAATCTTCTACTAGCTGTACACCGACCAGATTCAGAAAAAGTAACACCATACGAGTGTGGGTTTAGTCCTGTATATGGTCAAACACGAAACCCTTTCTCTATTCAGTTTTACCTAGTTGGTATCCTATTCCTAGTATTTGATATCGAAATTCTTCTAACATATCCTTACGCAATGAATCTTTACCAAACAAGTACATATGGATTCTGGATTTTCATTATCTTTTTCCTAGTACTAACTATTGGATTTGTCTATGAATTCGGTACTGGAGCACTATACTTCACAGATAAACGATCTTCAATTCAAAACACTAAAATTACTAATTCAAACCATTCCCCCCCTTTCCTGGACTTAATTAAAAACGTTGCTATAGTACTAACTTTAAGACTATAACTGAAAAAACCCCACAGTAAATGAAAATACTTTTTATTTCATTCCTTTTCAGACGTATATGAAAAGGATATTGGATAACCAATTACTAGTGTACATTTGATGGCACAACATCCTATTTCTAGTTGTAATCTTATGGATGCTTTTATTATTAAAAAAGTATCAACATGAATAGATATCTTTTTCTATTTGGTAAAATATTTTTTCACCGCTTCCTATTGTAGCAATTAAAAATGAGACATTTTCTAAATAATGGAACAAAGAAACAGAAAATGGAATAAATGTGAAAAATAAGAGCTCTTTGATATATCGTTTATAAGTTATACATGTTTACAAGGGAAGACCATTAACATAAAAAAATAAAGAGGAATATTAATTAAACTACTGTTAATAAATTTCCTATAGGAAATTTACAAAGACTATTAATTGATAAACACGAAATTTTTAGAATATTACTAAAATGTATATAGTTTCTATATGTTTAAAATAGAGTACATTCCAGGATTCGAACACTGGTCTAGCAGGACATGAGTCTGCTGTGCCACCTTTACACTAAAGTACTTTATATGTATGTTATACTATTCTTATATTAAGCTTATTTATAGAAGGTAATACCCATGTAAAGTGGTCCATTATAGATTTTCTAACCTTGTATATTTATTAAAATAAATAACATTCTGTATCACCGCATTATAAAATAGAAATGCTAAAAAGAAATTTTCTTATTTGTCCATCTACTAAATTTAGTAACACAAAAGAGAAATTGGTAGTGGACTACAGAAAGGGGGAAGTCTCATTAGTAAAAAGATTTTTTCTATGAAAATATAGTTTATAGTTAGTTACTTGTTCAGGTTATTTACTTTCCTAAGCAGCAGAATATAGTAGTCCTGATGTTGAGGCATGAACAGAATCAAGAATAATATTAGGGAAGATTCCAAATACCACAGCAACAAATAGAAGAGGTAGTAGAAGCATGAACTCTCGTCGAGTAAGATCTGTAGTGTAGTTTAGGTATTTACTCCATGACCCAAAGGCAATTCGGTTGTATAGCCAGATAGAGTAAGCAGCACTTAGAACAATACCTGTACTTCCTAGTACAGCAAATACTGGGTTTCGTTGGAAGGCACCAGCTAGACATAGGAATTCACCAGCCCAATTAGCACTTAGAGGTACAGCAGCATTAAAGATTGTAAATACAAAGAACATAATTGAGAATAGTGGCATGTAAGCAGTCATACCTCGGTAGTATCGAATAGTTCGTGTATGGTATCGATCATATAGAACTCCACCTACTAGAATAAATAGGGCAGGACTAACAACTCCATGGGCAATACTTAGTAGTAGAGCTCCATCAATACCTTGGATTGTATTACTGAATAGACCTAGTACTACAACAGCCATATGTCCAATTGAAGAGTAAGCAACTAGGGCTTTAAAATCTGTTTGTCGTAGTGTAGCTAGTGAAGCATAAATTAGAGTAATTACTGCAATAGTTTGAACTAGTGGAGAGAAGTATGATGTAGCATCTGGTAGGAATTGAATTAGAATTCGCATGTATCCGTATGTAGCTAGTTTTAGGATAAGTCCAGCTAGAATAACACTACCTGCTAGAGGTGCTTCCGCATGAGCTCGAGGTAGCCATACATGAAATGGTAGTAGTGGTGTTTTAATAGCCATACTAATAAATACTGCTAGCCATAGTAGTTTTTGTGATTCTAGGTTAATTTCTGATAGTGATACCACTTGGAAATCTGTAGAACCTACGTTATAGTAAATTACTAGAAAAGCTAGTAGCATAAATAGTGAACCAAATAGTGTATAAAGGAATAGTAGAAAAGCAGCTCGTACTCGTGTTGCACTACCACCCCAAATTCCAACAATTAGGAATAGAGGAATTAGTACACTTTCAAAGAATACATAGAATAGTAGAATATCTAGAACAACAAATACAGCAATTAGTAGTGTTTCTAGTACTAGGAAACACATTAGGAAGTATTTAAGTTGCTCTTTAATATTATCCCAATTACTTAGAATACAGATTGGTGTAATAAATGTTGTTAGTAGAACAAAGTAAAGTGAAATACCATCTACCCCAATGTGTAGGTGACAAAAATTAACTTGGTTAAATTCTTGTGTAAATTGGTATTCACTAGTACTTGAATCAAATTCACCCCATAGCACAATACTTAGAACAAAATTGATTAGTGATGTTCCTAGTGCTAGACGTTTCATTTGTGATTCTGATTGTGGTGTATTTCCTTGCATAGGTGCCAGCATTAGAGCACCTACTAGAGGAATAATTAGTAGTAGTGTTAGCATTTTTAGAAATTCAATTTATTGATGTCCTTCTTCTGTTTAGTTAATTAAACAGGAGCGCCACAGGCACTCTCCTTATCTCTTTTATTATTTTCTGCTCTATAACTAGATGACAGTACGTTCTATTTAATTAGTAATTCTAATTCTATTTCTTATATCCTAATTTCCATTTTCTGATTACAATGGGCAAAGAGATTTATAAAATAAAAAATCTTTTTCTGTTAAATATAGGTAATATAATAAAAGCATAAGTATTACCTATATAAAAAGGATACTATATATATCTTTCTATAACTGTTATTCTATTCATAGTCGTTTTTAAAATATATATAGGGATAGGTCTCTTAGTTTAAAGGTAAAACAGTAGATCTTCATTTTACTAATAGGAGTTCGATTCTCCTAGAGATCAGTATATTTGGATCTAGAAAATAAACAGCATACTAACTTGAATATCCTTAAAAATTCTATATTAATTAGTGTTTACTATCTAGAAGATAGATTGCTTTCCCTTTGGAAAATAAAGTGCTAGAAAAAATAGAACCATTCTTTTTATTTATAAACAAACAAAATGTCGACTTAGTTTAGTGGTAGAATAGGTAACTTGTAATTACTTGACACTAGTTCGATTCTAGTAGTCGGCAATATACTATAAATACTAGATATAATATATATTATATAGCCATTACACAGTATATATCTATATAAACAGATAGGTATTGTGCTATAAAACTTTTAAAAAAGATAGTACTGGGAAATTCAATCGTCAAGGCCTAAAAAAGAAAAGAAATCCAATGGTATGCATAAGTAAATAGTAGTATAGGATGTCGTCTAAAGGAAAGACATCATTTTTTGGTAATGAGAATGGTTGTTCGATTCAACCCATCCTAGTGATATATAAAGATAGTAGGACTCGAACCTACGACGTCGATATTAAAAGTATCGCACTCTAACCAACTGAGTTATACCTTCTTTATATAGGTTACTTATGGACAAACCGCTATTGGCGAGGTGTAGGCGATTGCTAATTGTCTGGAATAGTAAAAATTTCCTTAGGAGTTCGAATCTCCTTTTGTCCGTAGTGAGTAATCATATACCTATATACTGGTATACCAAAATGAAAAAATATAGAAGACTTTTTTACTAACTTATTTAGGGCTTATCTCCCTTCTATAAAAAAGACATAAAGAGTAAAAAAGGAAATAGACTAAGAGGATTTACCACAGCATATTGCTGTGGTACGTTGGCTTTACTCAACAAATGCTAAAGATATTGGTACACTGTATCTAATCTTTGCTGTATTTGCAGCTATGATTGGAACAGCGTTCTCAGTACTAATCCGAATGGAGCTAGCAGCACCTGGTGTACAATACCTTAACGGAGATCACCAACTGTACAATGTTATTATTACAGCACACGCTTTCGTAATGATTTTCTTCATGGTTATGCCAGCTATGGTTGGTGGATTCGGTAACTACCTTGTGCCAGTTATGATCGGAGCTCCAGATATGGCGTTCCCTCGACTAAACAATATTTCATTCTGGCTACTACCTCCTTCACTAATTCTACTACTAGCTAGTGCTTTTGTAGAGCAAGGAGCAGGAACAGGATGGACAGTTTACCCACCACTATCAGGACTACAAAGCCATTCAGGAGGTTCAGTAGATCTTGCTATCTTTAGTCTACACCTATCAGGTATCTCATCAATGCTAGGAGCAATGAACTTTATTACTACAGTTCTTAATATGCGAAACCCAGGAATGACACTACATAAACTACCACTATTTGTTTGGGCTATCTTTGTTACAGCTATTCTACTGCTACTATCACTACCAGTACTAGCTGGAGCAATTACAATGCTACTAACAGACCGTAACTTTAATACATCATTCTATGATCCAGCAGGAGGAGGAGATCCAATCCTTTACCAACACCTATTCTGGTTCTTTGGTCACCCAGAAGTTTACATCCTAATTATCCCTGGATTTGGAATGGTTAGTCACATCGTAAGTGCATTCTCAGGTAAACCAGTATTTGGATACCTAGGAATGGTTTATGCTATGTTCAGTATTGGAATCCTAGGATTCCTAGTATGGAGTCACCACATGTATGCTGTAGGACTTGATGTTGATACACGAGCTTACTTCACAGCTGCTACAATGATTATTGCTGTTCCTACAGGAATTAAAATCTTCTCATGGCTAGCTACACTATATGGTGGTTCACTACGAATTACTACACCTATGCTATTCGCTCTTGGATTTATTGCTCTATTTACAATTGGAGGTCTAACAGGAGTTATCCTAGCTAATGCTTCACTAGATGTTGCTCTACATGATACATACTACGTTGTTGCTCACTTCCACTATGTTCTATCAATGGGAGCTGTATTTGCACTATTTGGTGCATTCTACTTCTGGACACCAAAAATCATTGGTAAAACATTTAATGAAAACCTAGGACGAATTCACTTCTGGACACTATTTGTAGGAGTTAACCTAACATTCTTCCCACAACACTTCCTAGGACTAGGAGGTATGCCTCGACGAATCCCAGATTACCCTGATGCATTTGCTGCATGGAACGCTATTAGTAGTTTCGGAAGTCTTGTATCAGTAGTTGCTACAGTACTATTCGGTTACATTATCTACGATATTCTTGTAAATGGTAAACCAGTAGATGCTAACCCATGGGCTGTACCAGCATTCTTCCAATCAACACCAGAGTTCTGGATGGAAAGCCACACAGCTTCTTCACTAGAATGGGCTCTAGAGTCACCAACACCATTCCATAGTTTCAACATGCTACCTGTACAATCATAATTTATCTAATTTACTAGAATTTTTCTTTTTAGTAAAAATGGTTTATTGGTATAAACCACTTTTTAAGCGAAAGGTGTACTGTGCACCCCCTTCACAAGAATATTTATTGTTTTCTATTTTTTAGCAATTAGTCAATTTATTAACGTTTTATAAATCACTAGAATTATAAGCGTAGTTGTTTTACTAAAAAAATATACCCTATTATTACTTATAAACAACTGTTTATAATAATGAATAGTAGTAACAGTTCCAGTAGAGATAAATCATAAAACGTGTTTATAATGATGTAATCAACTAGTTTGGAACCATTTTCTTGATTCATAAATAATGCCTCAACTACTACCTTTTTACTTCGTAAATCAAATTTCATTTGCATTCCTAGGACTATTTGTACTACTATTTGTATTTAGTAAATACATCCTACCAACTTTTGTAGAACTATTTGTTTCACGAATGTACATTACTAAACTGTAATTAAAAATATCGTTACAAATGCAATATTTTGGGTGCTGAATGTACCCCCTTCATTGTCTAGTTTAGCACACTTGTAAAGAAAAGAAACTAATAAAATTTACTAAGACACGATAAAAATCAACACAATACGTTTTTATAGGAATAAATAGAATATATATATATTGAGCTTTATTTATAATAGACGCTACGGGCGGAATAGTATAAAACATCGCTAGAACGCGGTTGAAAACTTTTTCTATTTCTATTTAGCTTGTACTGTATATCAGTACCTAATTTTAAGCCGTTCTAACTTCTATTTATTCACTGAGGAAATAAATAGATAATTTAGCAGGACTTTTTTATATCTGTTGTTGATTATAGCTATTATATAAGAAACAGTAAGTAACAATCCAATTAATCTTATTTTATGCAATGGCATTCCTAATTCATTCACCACTAGAGCAATTTGAAGTAACTAGTCTTATTTCTCTAAATCTACCAGTACTTGGATACATTAATCTAAGTCTAACAAACCTAGGACTATATACAATTATTACAGTATATCTAGTACTAGCACTTCACATTATGGGAAGTAACAACAAACAACTAATTCCAAGTCGATGGAGTATTGCACTAGAAAGTAGCTTTGCTTCAGTACACGGACTAGTTAAATCACAAATTGGTGCTGCCAACGAAATGTACCTACCATTTATCTATTCACTATTCTTCTTCATCCTTATTGCTAACCTAAGTGGTAACGTTCCGTACGGATTTACAGTAGCTACATCAATTATGGTAAGTATTGGTCTAAGTATGACAATCTTTATTGGAGTTACAATTCTTGGTCTACGACTACACAAAGTACACTTCTTCTCATTCTTCGTTCCTTCAGGTACACCTCTTGGACTGGTACCTCTACTAGTACCTATTGAGCTGATCTCATATCTAGCACGAGCTTTCTCACTTGGAGTTCGGCTATTTGCAAACACAGTAGCTGGTCACACTCTACTTAAAATTCTTTCAGGATTCCTAGCACCTATGTTTACTTCAGGAGCTATTACAGCAGTTATTACTCTAATCCCATTTAGTATCTTCATCGCACTAATCGGACTAGAAATTGCGGTTTCATTCATCCAAGCTTACGTATTCTGTATTCTAACAGCATCATACCTTAAAGATGCTATTGATCTACACTAAATTACGTAATTTATGGTAGATGTCTATATATCTACCCCCTTCTATAACATCTTGGATATACAAAGAATTTGTAGATTAGATTCCTTTTAGCGAAACATAAAGATTTTCTATTTGTTCATTTACTCGTATATATAGGTATACATACAAGTAAGGGTTTAGCTGAGTGGTTTAGCATCGATCTTACACATCGAGGACAGAGGTTCGATTCCTCTAATTCTTATAAAAAGAAAGGAGGGGCTCCTTAAAAAAAGAATAGTTCATGAGCTACTATCAGATTTTTGTAGTATAGAACATTTATGAAAAAAGAAGAAATAATGAGGCCTGGCCTACTAAATTCCATTTCTAAGAGAAATTTATAACCACTACTATTTTATAGGAAAGGAAAATTTTTCCCTTTTATTTAACGTGCTGCTTTCTCTTTTTAAAATTGATTATTTGTTATAATGTTCGTTCTTATTTTGTTTTTATTTTATTATCCGTAAAATTGAAAAATGGAATGGATTGTAAGCAATCAAATAGAAAAGAGCTGCCTTGTATACAGTAAGATATTTTTATGTTACAAGGTTATTCTAGGTACAGATATGTCGCTATAGCGCATTCTTTTTTTTAGAATACTATTTTCTTACTATAATTAGTATTAATTATGTAGTATAGATGTAGGGTTAGCAAAGCTATAATAATCTACACTTTTTGAAAATGTTTAATCTATTTCCATTTGCTACTACAGCAATTTTTAACGATGCACCACAACCTTGGCAACTAGGATTCCAAGATGGAGCATCACCAACACAAGAAGGAATCACAGAACTACACGATTCTATTTTCTTCTACCTAGTAGTTATTTGTTTTGGTGTACTATGGGTACTATCATCAGTAATTGTTAACTTTAACAGTAACAAATCACAACTAGTATACAAATACGCTAACCACGGAACTCTAATTGAGCTAATCTGGACAATTACACCTGCTCTAGTACTTATTGCTATTGCTTTCCCTAGTTTCAAACTACTTTATCTTATGGATGAGGTAATTAGTCCTTCTATGACAGTTAAAGTAGCTGGACACCAATGGTACTGGTCATACGAGTACTCAGACTTTATTAATGAAGATGGTGAATCAATCGAGTTTGATTCATACATGGTTCCTGAAACAGATCTAGAAAATGGACAACTACGACTACTAGATGTTGATAACCGAGTAGTTGTACCAATTGATACACACATCCGATTTATTGTTACAGGAGCAGATGTAATCCACGATTTTGCTGTACCATCACTAGGACTTAAAATCGATGCTGTTCCAGGACGACTAAACCAAACATCAGTTCTAATTGAACGAGAAGGAGTATTCTATGGACAATGTTCAGAAATTTGTGGAGTATACCACGGATTTATGCCTATTGCAGTTGAAGCTGTAACACCAGAAAAATACCTTGCATGGATTGATAGCCAAGCTTAATTTTTCCCCCCTTCCCTTTAAAACACCAATTTCGTTTATTATAAATAGTACAGCGCAATAAATTGTATTTTTAGGAAAAAATTTTCCCACTGTTACTATACAAAAATATATATAACCCTTTGACTTAAACCTGTTTATCCTTATTATTTACATTCTATAAATAAGTAATAAGTATAGACTTATTAATGTGCGTATTTAAAAAAAATTTTTATAAGTAAAATTAGTAACGCAGTAAATCAGTATAATAACAATGCTTTCAGTTCTATATAATCTACTAGAAATCCTAGTAGTACTTGTTCCTATTCTTCTAAGTGTTGCCTTTATGACAGTAATTGAACGAAAAGTAATGGGATCAATGCAACGACGGATTGGACCTAATGTAGTTGGATATTACGCTCTACTACAACCATTTGCAGATGCCCTAAAACTGGTTATTAAAGAGCAAGTTATTCCTTCACAAGCTACAAAAAGTCTATTCTTCCTAGCACCTATGGTTACACTAATCTTTAGTCTACTAGGATGGGGTGTAATTCCTCTAGGTCCTGGTCTAGCTCTTAGTGATTTCTCACTAGGTATTCTTTATTCTCTAGCCCTTTCAAGTATTGGTGTATATGGTATTCTATTCGCTGGATGGTCTGCTAATTCAAAATATGCTTTCCTGGGTTCACTACGATCTACAGCTCAAATGATTAGTTACGAGCTAATTTATAGTGCTGCAGTACTAGCTGTAATTCTACTTTGTGGTACGTTCAATATTACAGAGATTATTGAAGCTCAACAAAGTGTATGGTACATTGTGCCTCTACTACCTATCTTTATTCTATTCTTTATTTCAGCACTTGCTGAAACAAATCGTACACCATTCGATCTTCCTGAAGCTGAATCAGAGCTAGTTGCTGGTTTCATGACAGAGCACTCAGGTATGATCTTTGTATTCTTCTTCCTAGCAGAGTACGGAAGTATTGTTCTAATGTCTACTTTCACAGCAATTCTGTTCCTTGGTGGATATAACATGTCACCTCAAGCACTATTTGCGGAAGATTCATTTATTAACCTACAAAGTATTGCTCTAGCAGTAAAAGCAGTTCTAATTATGTTCCTATTCGTATGGATCCGAGCTACACTGCCTCGAATGCGATATGATGGGCTTATGACGTTCTGTTGGACTGGTATGCTTCCTGTAGCTATTGCTCTTCTAATCCTAGTGCCTAGTCTACTAATTGCATTTGATATTAGTCCATACTAATAAACTACATTTACTAGTAGTAAGCATACTTACTACTAGTTCATTTTGCTTTTCCCCCTCACTACAAACAGAGAATACTTTTTAACTAGGGGCGTACCGTGAAAAAAAGAAATTATTCAATAAAGTTCCTCTTTATACAAATAGAAATAATTAACTAGTATAATAGAAGTTTATAAAGGAATACAAGTATTTTCCTTTTTTATAGAGGGGGCATAGTATAGTTGGTCAGTATACTTCCTTTGCAAGGATGGGAGACAGGTTCGAGTCCTGTTGCCTCCAAAAATAGTCAATTGAAATTAACTCCTTTTTCTTTTCGATAGTAAAATATTGTTTTTTCAATAGGTGTTATTTTATTAATATTTGTTATTCTATTTTTCATAGTAATCTATAAAAAAAATAGATAAGCCTCAATAGCTTAGATGGTAGAGCATAGAACTGAAGCTTCTAACGGATTGGTTCGATTCCAGTTTGAGGCATTTACTTATTAATAGATTGAATTCCTTGTCAATTTCTTATAATTTAATAGTGACAACAAAATGCAGATATGCTCTATTGGTTGGGGCGGTGCTCTGTAAAAGCATTGGCTGTATGCCGTGGTGAGTTCGAATCTCACATCTGCAATTACTATTTCATCAGGTGCTTACTAAAAGTTTTTTAATAGATGAGAGGCTTTCCATTTTATAATATCTGTTTATAATCTAAGTACGGACGCGGGGAGATTCGAACTCCCGGTTCTCGGGTGAGAACTCCTAGACTCAAGCCAGGTACATTAAACCACTCTGTCACACGTCCCTTTGTTTTTATTTAATTGTATATATATATATAGAATAGTTGTTTTGTTCTACTTACTTTTTTAGCTTTTGACAAATAAGA